CATTACCCTGACTTACATGTGTTCTTATTCCCTATCTTTAATCTGGAGATGTCAGAATATACCTGAATAGTACTCCAGTACCGCCAAGTACTGAACATGCCTTTGGTGGAACTCAAGTCTTCACTCCCAAATTTGCAAAACATTCTATGTAAATGTCAATGGGTTTGTTTGGATTAGTCTGGCACTGTGGGCTTTGGTAACTATTAGAGTATTCCGTAAGTGACTATTTTTGCTTTAGATAAGTTAGCTCTGCAGTTGTCTAGCTATTTCTTGCCCAGTGCTGAGACAACAATTTCAGTACTCAAAAATCTAAGCTTCCAACCCTGAGATTAACCTGCAAAGTGAGAGAAAACAAAATGATCTGACTTGGCATACTGCTAGGCGTAACAGCAATTGTGTAAGTACATGTAGTGGAAAGAAGAAGCATTTGTAAGCAAACAGGAAATCATGCCAATTTTTCTCAAAAAATTGAAGGGAAAATGAATGACAATAAGTGAGTAAGAACAAATTAGTACTTCAACAAACTTTAGTTTTGGAAAGAACAGTCATCCTGAACGAGACAGAATGGGTTGAGGAAATGAAGCATGATACACATTCCTGAGACCCTTGTGATGAGAACAACCACGTTCCTTAGCACTTCAGTAAAAACAGACTTTGTGTTTTGATGATGGACTTACTAATCATTCAGCCTCATGTCTATGAAATAATAGATCTTGGGAGTTTTATTAACCACAAATGGTGACATGAAAGTGGGATGGCCACACTTTAAAACTTAAAAGGGCCAGCCAGCCTCGTAGGTTATCAGCCATTTGTTTCTATACTTTGAGTAATTTCGGTGAGCTCATATATATTTCATCTCAGCTGACATTGAAACAACACAGTGAGATAAGCTGGGAAAACATATGTTTTCCTGTAATATGTCTGAGGAAAGCACAGGTCAGGATGTGAAGAAATAATCATTTGTTGTAGTTACAGAGAAAATGGGTGTGGTCCTCTACGATTTACTACCAAGATAACAGGTGGGACAGAATCAATTAGCCCTTTGAAGTCCCTGAGGACATTTAAAACGCAGGAGTTTTGCCATTCAGATGTCGAAACTTGCAACGACAAAACGAAATAAATGATGAAAAGTTGCACTTGAACCTCAAGGTTGTTTCCCAAAGGACATTCAGCTGAGAATGAAACAGAAATCAAATACGTTTTCACTTCAAATGTGTGTCAGATCTCACAGACCTCTGTCCAAAACTTATAGTTTCCCAACTCAGCCAAAATAACAGTAAATATTCTCACACATTGTTTACTTCTTACCTTGCTTGTCCTTTGTTATTCTCTATTGCAAGAGTGACACAAAGGTACAAACATAACCTATTAAGCCATAGATTAACTCTATTTGAGATATATATACATACACATATATATGTATACACACATTCATATATATATATATATATATATATATATATATACACACACACACATATATGATTCTCATTTTATAGACAAAGAAAATGGTCGGAAGAAATATTAAGCAAACTGTCAAACAGGATGAATAAGCGGTTGCCACCCAGTATCTGTCCCCAATATTCAGTACTCTTAACCCATATTAACTTGTTGAGCTAGAAGAACCAGCCTGCTGCTTCTACCCCAGCTCTCCTTCCCTTCCCTGGCAAGTCCTTGCCTCTGCTCCTGTACCACATCCGCCATTCTCATTAGGACTTTTTTTTTTTTTTTTGACAATTTGACTTGAAACTGAGCCCGTGACGCACAAGAACAAGGAAAACATTAGCACTGACTAAAATAATGGTGGAGGTTTTTTTGTTTGCTTTGTACAAGAGGAGGTTCTACTTGTAATTCAAATGGCAAACAGGAAATGATTTTTTTTTCTCTCTGCCTCAGCACATGAGGCTAACTGAACAAACAGGACAGAACCCCACTGGGAACAGAGACCCTTGGCAGCAGCAGAACCAAGACAGATAGCAAGGGGTTGGAAAAGGTGGGGATGGGAGGTAGGACAATTTTGAATCATGCTCTTGGATATTTGTGTCTGAAAGTATGCTGCAATCACATAACAGAGTATCACACAAGGAATTCCATAAATAGCAATCTGCAAATGCTTGATTGTCATTGAACATAAAAACTAAGATGACTCACCAGTAAAATGTCTTTATATTTATTATTTCCTTTCCTAACTTCTCTGCCCAGCTCAAACTGACATTGTCTACAACTAACAAGCTTAGAGGAGTAACCCCCATGTGATAGGGCTATTACTCCTTTATTTTGGTTACAAGAGAGTTTCTTATTGCCTGAATTGGGTCTCCTCAAAGTTCATGTTAATTTCTTAACTCTCAAGTTGTGAATGTATTTGGGGATATGTCCTTCAAATAAATTGTTAAGTTAAAATGACATTATTAGCATTGCATTCAATTAAGTCTGAATGGTGTGTTTATAAAAAGAAAAAACAGAATAGGAGAAGTCATTTGGGATGAATTATACAGGAAAGGACCTTGTGAAGATACAACGAAAAGAAATTAATTGACAAGAGAGGAAAATAGCTTATACAGAATTGGAATTTATAACACATTAGTCCCCCATTTCTAAGTTTCATAACTGTGAACATAATTTTCTGTATTTTTGACTATTTTGTCTGTTATTTTCTTATAGATAACTAAGGAAATTCATATGAACTCTCAACAAAAAATCTTAGTTGAGCCTTGAATACAGAAATAATGAGATACCTGAGCAGTAGTGTTGTAGGCTATTGAGCCTATGACAATTTCTTATTCAGCAATAGATAGAAATCATTATATTAGTGAACAATCTTTGAGCCATCATACTATGTATTATTATGAGAATACAAGAATTTGTATAATATTTTTAATGCAGACTCTAAGACATTACAGAATGCTGCAGTTTTTTACTATAAAAACATAAAGTTATGTTTGGTAGAATTTGTGTATATATTAATGGTAATTAATCACATTTAGTTGAGAGCCTCAAATATTTAAGGCTGAGTCATTTCTCCAACCCAGTAAAGGATATTATTTAAGTGTACAGAGATAATTTCATTAACTAGAATACAGCAATTTACAACTCTATTGGATTAAGGAAGACTTTATGTAGTTGTCATTACCTCAAAATAATGAATCAAAAGAGGACTAGCAATGTTGTGGTCAGTCTCAGTGCAAGTAACTCTAAAAACGTTTCCCCTTTTAACTCCAACCCTTTATTAAAGTTGATGAAAATAACTGGCAGGTGAGGACTATGTCTTTGCCCAGTTTATGTTCTATGAACTTTGTTTTTTAAGCCTGTCAAGACACAAGTATTTTGATACAACAAATATATCTATCTACCCCTCACATGAGAGAAGAGATGGAGTCACTGAGCTTTAATGTTTAATTGATGGTGATTTATCCTTTTCTAATTTATCTGTTACCTGTTATCTCTTTAATTGATGGTGGGTTATCAGTTTCTAATTTCAAAGCCATAATGTTAATGACAAAAGATTTTAAAACTGTTGGTTCCTAGGCCTGATATCCAAAAGCTATTAGAACTTAGAAAATATGACCCCTAGATGTTTACAAGTTATATAGAATTTGCATCTAAGAAAAGCAAGCACCTGTAGATGAATTCCTAAATGATCTTATTAAATAAAAAACACGGAGCCAAATATAGGGATGAAAGCCTTAGAGAGATCAGGGAAAGAGGGAACGCCACCAGCCAACCTTACCTCACCAACTCTGCAGCTTCCAAATGCGAGTTACTTCCTGTCTACCCACATCTATATGCCTTGTTGTTCTGCCATCTGATTTGCTCTCTGTTCGGCTACATCACTTCCTTTTCCTACACAGCTCTGTTACTTTTTGTCTGTCTGTACAGATCTCCAGGCCTCCATGGTTAACTAGTGTTGGAATTAAGACATATGCCACCACACCTTGCTCTGTTTCCACTGTAGCCTTGAACACACAGAGATCCAGCCTCCTAAGTGATAGAATTAAGGGCGTGTGCTACTGTTGCCTGACTTCTTTGTTTACTTATAATGGCTGGCTGGCCTTTTTCCTCTGATCTCCAGGCAAGCTTGATTTACTAAAGCACAGATAAAATATTACCACAAGCACCTGAACAATTAACTAATTACTCCATTTTCCCCTTGAATAACAAAAGAAAGTATGCTATTTGTCAAAGATTAAAGACCATTTTTCCTTCATTGATGACCACGTTGAGTTTTCCAGGAAGAAAACCATGTCATGTGTCATGTCTCATGAGCTCATCCAAACAGTCTTAGGAATGGCAGCATCAGTCAGAATCTATTTTCTAGTACCCAGAAAAAGCCCTGCAAATGGAAAGGATGCTTTTCCTGGATTGTGAGAGTAAATGCTTATGTGCCGACAGATTCTTAATGATCTGCCCTTGGATATGGGGTATTTCATGTAACACTTTTTCATATTATCTCTGTCCTTTCTTTTGGTTGAGAGGGTAATGCAGGGGCTGTTCAACGGACTTCATTTTTTCCCCTAAAACTCAGAAGATTTACCAGCCAGAGGTGTTTGAAAGAAAGGTCAGCCCATGAACAAAATTATTGTTCTCTGAGAAGATTTTTTTTCAAAACTTTTACTGTAAAGAGAAAAGCTCATTGAGCACTAGCTTCTCTCTAAAGAAATGAAGCTTTTATGGCTCACAAATTCAAGTGTAATCTAGCTGACTAGGAGACATTTTAAAAACCCATTCTTCATCAGGCTTGTCCTACTGTATTCTACATTCAATTCATTCTGCAAGGTGATTAAAAGTAACATTTAATAAGAGGTCATTTGGAAGTAATTATTTAGCATCCACAGGGTTCAAAGCATTATACAAAAGGCTTAGAATTAAAACCTCCAAAGTCACATAGTGGAAAAGGAGATGATAATGTATTTCTTAGTGCAAAAGCAATATAATAAGTTGTATTTTCTGTTATAGTTTGGGAATAGACAGTTTCAAGATTATGTACAATATTAATAACTTACATCTTATTTTATTTTGTCCATTGTCAAATTATTTTGCATTGACTTGCGGGATTACATCATTATCCTCCACAGCATAAAATGCTTGATGTTCTCATTGTTCAAATGAAGACACTGAGAACCAGAAAGACAAGATGCCTTACAAACAAAGAGTAGGAGGAGGGACTTGAATACTTGTCCTTTTTCCATATATCCTCATCTTAATTGATGATGCACCTGATGCAAAACAGCTGGAATTTGATAATTTAAGGAAATTTGAACGTGCCTTTTATAATTCTTAAGTAACATGACCCTAAAGTCCATACTTCACAACCAGTCCCTGTGAGTGATAATGCCCCTCTTTGTGGGAAGGAATCCCAGAGTGAATGTGTAAGAAGCCAATGAAGTACTGAGTGAATGTGTGTTTTTGATAAGGACCAATGACTCAAAACCATGGAAATTGTCAAAGCCTTCCCTAGGTCAGGCAAGAAATTGTCAAAATCTCCCTCTGGTCCATGTATAAGGCTGACAGAATGTACAGAAATAGACCATAATTTCACCTGACATGCTGATTGCCTAAGACTGATCCCCTACAGAGACATTCTACCTAATCAAGCTAACTCATCCTATCTCTGTGGTACACAACAAATTTGCTGAAGTTTCCTTACAAGTTTGCTGAATATCCTGGTTCCTTGCATGGCTAGTGTCACTCCATCCGAGTGCGCATGGCCCAACTGAAACCGTTTTTTCCCTACATGTATCTGTGTGTCTGTTCTTTCATCGTTCCCTTATCACTCCAGTGAAGTTTCAAGGAGGAAGCTGTTATGGATGCATGGTGGCCACGCCTGCCTTGGATTTAGCCATCCCTCATGAGAATTCTGCTTAAGATGGGTGAGATGTGTTCAGTTCCCCCTCTGCAAATCTCTGCCTGAGTATCCTTTGATAGTGCCATGGCAGTAACCTGTCTCTGCTCTAACTTTGCTTCAAGAAATTATTGATTCCACACTACAGTGAGAACTCCTTTAAAATATTACATTGATTCCCAAACAATTCTGAATAAACATGTAATGTGTGAATTTAAGAGAAAGTCTAAAATCCTAAAGAGACCTTTTGGTCCCTTTTGTTGCCTAGTCTGCTGATAATTCTCTTCTTTTCAACCATCCTTCTTTTAGCCATCTTCTCATACTCCTGAAGCAAACACTACTCTAAAATATCAATCCACAATATCACAGTCACATGATTGAATTCATACCCAACCTACAAGTTAGTGAAAGATATCAAATGTCACCTCACAAATAAATATAATCGATTTTTTTAAAATGTTATTTTTGTATGATATGTTTTTGGCATACTCTTTGCCCTGCCCCATCTCCTCCCAGATTGTCTCCATTCCTCTCACCAACAAACTTCAAGTTCTTTGTCAATCTTCCACCTCTCTCTCTTGCTTTCTTTGTCTCTAAAAAAAAAAAAGACGATCAAAATAAGCAAAAAGTTAAGACAAAAATACCAAAAGCAAAGCAAAGCAAAACAAACAAACATAAGACTTTTCCTTGTCACCTCTCTGCACCTAACATACAGTGTTGAAGCACTTAAGAGTTCCCTAAATAGCCTATAAAAGCTAAAAACATTTGTAACTCATCCTCTCTCTGTGGTACACAACAAATTTGCTGAAGTTTCCTTACAAGTTTGCTGAATATCCTGGTTCCTTGCATGGCTAGTGTCACTCCATCCGAGTGCGCATGGCCCAACTGAAACCGTTTTTTCCCTACATGTATCTGTGTGTCTGTTCTTTCATCGTTCCCTTATCACTCCAGTGAAGTTTCAAGGAGGAAGCTGTTATGGATGCATGGTGGCCACGCCTGCCTTGGATTTAGCCATCCCTCATGAGAATTCTGCTTAAGATGGGTGAGATGTGTTCAGTTCCCCCTCTGCAAATCTCTGCCTGAGTATCCTTTGATAGTGCCATGGCAGTAACCTGTCTCTGCTCTAACTTTGCTTCAAGAAATTATTGATTCCACACTACAGTGAGAACTCCTTTAAAATATTACATTGATTCCCAAACAATTCTGAATAAACATGTAAATGTGTGAATTTAAGAGAAAGTCTAAAATCCTAAAGAGACCTTTTGGTCCCTTTTGTTGCCTAGTCTGCTGATAATTCTCTTCTTTTCAACCATCCTTCTTTTAGCCATCTTCTCATACTCCTGAAGCAAACACTACTCTAAAATATCAATCCACAATATCACAGTCACATGATTGAATTCATACCCAACCTACAAGTTAGTGAAAGATATCAAATGTCACCTCACAAATAAATATAATCGATTTTTTTAAAATGTTATTTTTGTATGATATGTTTTTGGCATACTCTTTGCCCTGCCCCATCTCCTCCCAGATTGTCTCCATTCCTCTCACCAACAAACTTCAAGTTCTTTGTCAATCTTCCACCTCTCTCTCTTGCTTTCTTTGTCTCTAAAAAAAAAAAAGACGATCAAAATAAGCAAAAAGTTAAGACAAAAATACCAAAAGCAAAGCAAAGCAAAACAAACAAACATAAGACTTTTCCTTGTCACCTCTCTGCACCTAACATACAGTGTTGAAGCACTTAAGAGTTCCCTAAATAGCCTATAAAAGCTAAAAACATTTGGACTTCTTGGTTTGCATTTCATTCAGACTTTAAGTCATACAAGCTTTGTAAATGGTTTAGGGTCATATGTCTTAGCATTTTGCACATTTAATATTCTTTATAAATATTTTCTTAATGCATGGATTGATGGTGACTGCATTTACATGTAAAATACTGTAATGCTTCTATCAGAAAATATACAGGAGAAAAGTTTTTTTAATTGATTTACTGCAATGATAATTATGAAATTTGTTTTGTGGTAGAGAATAGTAATTAATTGTTTGGTTCAACATAACTCATACTCTAAATACCATTGACTAGTTATAAGAAATTTTATAATAAAATGAAGAAAAATATGATATACATTCTGTAAAGCTCCAGAGATTAAAAAGTAAAGAATTAAAGTCATTACAGAGGAACTCCAATGTGCCAACACACTTTGTGATTCTATTATCATTACGATAGATATGGTCTCAGCTCATATATAGATACAGACGTTCCAAACTTCCTGATGAGTAAAAATAGAAACACTCCCTCAACAGATTCAGATTCTATTCTCACACCCAGTTTAAATACTTACATCTCACCATGTCAGCACACTTTGAGAAAATTTGTGCTATTTAACTCTCTATGTAGTGATGTGATCTGGTTTCCTTTGAATTCTCTGCAGAAATCAAGATTTTTTTATGTACATAAGAAAAAGTTGACTAAAAGTGAAACTGAGGTGTTCATCTGAGTTGATTAGGATTATAGTGACTGTTACAAGTATTTTACTGCAAAATAGATCTATTTCCGTGTGACTTGATTTAGCTTCATTGTCCACAGTCATGCTATTTTCCCCATGCAACTTGATTCAATTGTATTAATGTAACTCAGAAGTACGCTCTAGCTTTCATGGGTCTAATTATCAAAAGCTGTGGGGTTTGGCTAGCTTCTAAGCATTCATTAGGCATTGACTTGTATGCCTACAACACTAATGGATTTTCTCTACTTTGTGATTATATACACATATATTTATTTTTATATAATTCCATTATCTTGTCCTTGCACTTTTTTAAATTGAAAATAGATTCTTCTTTCAAACAATACATCCTGACCAGCTCCCCTTCCTTCCATTCCTCCCAGATCCCCTTTCTCCTAGCTTCCCTCTCCCTATCAGTTTCTCATCAGAAAAAAATCAGGCCTCTAAGAAACAACAACCAAACCCAACAAAATCCACTAAGACAAGGCAAAAGCTGTCATTACAAAGCTGGGCAAGGCAACCC